AGGTCATTGCAGAAAAGAAAACCAGGCGTAACTTATTTTCTCATGCAAGTTTGCTATTAAATTGTGGAAACAATGATACACCCTAATTCTTAAAATCCTATAATGGAATTTCTGAGGCATGTCTTTTTTTCAGTGTTTTTGTTGGAATCTTTCATCTGTCTCTATCATTGTTAATGCCCAGTTTTTCTGATATGCTTAGAAAAACTGCCCCCATTTTAGGCTGAGTATGTTCATACCCATGTATAGTGTCACTGGAGAGATTTTAACATAGTGACTAGTGAATCAGCAAATTTTTGCTGCTGTATGAAATTTGATGCTTTCTGAAGTATATTCAGTCCCTAACACTTTTTATTACAGGCCTGTCTATTATCATGCATATGAATTACATTATAGTCTAGTTTTAGATATGAATTACATTGTATTCTAGTTTAGATATATACAGGGCTCAGTTTTTAATTAATTTCTAATAGATCCACAAATTTTCACAATAGCTTTGTGATCAGAAAAATTTTGAGAAAAGTATGTCTCATTCAAACCTCTTTGAAAATGTGAATGTATGCCCTTTTCACCTTAGTATACCTGAAAACATAGCTGGTAGGATTTTTCTTATTTTTAGTAACTTAAAAAGCCAGTCTGAGAGGCATTTTTGATTCTTGTAAAAGTTAAAAATTCCCTTATTAGGGCCTTTAAATTCTTTATCTGAAGTTCATACCTTTCGAACTATTTGGGACATGAAAAAGATTTGTATTTACCTAGCTTATTGCTGAACTTTGGTCTAATCCACAGCCTTTTAGTGTTTAGACCTAATTCATTACAGATGGAAAAAGCCAATTATGTTTTGGAAGCTGCCTCTCCCCAGCAGTGCAGGATAGCACTTTGGCTAATATTTTTATATCCAGTGATAGAGGAAAGCCCTTGAGACTTCAAAATCTCCTTGAAGCATAAGTACTTTCATGACTATGGGCCTGACTATAAAGATCACTGCAGTTGCCTTGGGAAAAGTTATTTCCCTGTGGAAAGGATCCATGCAAAGATTCTCTGCATCACATTGTTTTAAGGTGGGGCACTCAGGGGCACTCCATTGTTACTGAGTAGGGCACATGACAGAGGGAAGCTGAAATGTTAGGTGGTGTTTGTTAGAAGCATGTCTAAAATGGCATAACTCTACTATATAAAAATTCTGTGGTCAAGGGATCCATTTCCTCTAAGAGAAAAACAAACTATAAATTGTCTTTGTCTCCTGAAGTGTTTATGGGAGGAAATAAATATATTTCTGAGATCAGACCTGTTAGTGGAACAAGTCACGCTTCTGCAAACAACACACTAATCAGATTTGTCCTGTTTGGCCTGTAAAAATGTAGTGAAATGTTCTAGACCTCTCACATTCCTTGAGCTCTGTCATTGTTGAAATTTCCTTATTATTTACTGGAAGGATTTTGAAATTAGATAGACTTACAAACAGATAGTCACTCTGATTCTGAACATGTTTTCATTCTTTTTCTAAACTGTAACATTATATTTACTCTTTTTCAAAAAAGGAAAATACAGTGTAAAAGCACCAGAGAAAGTAATCCTTCTACCTTTTTCTGTTAGGTACTATCTTCCAAGCAAGTTCTCCGAGTGTGATATTGAAGAGTATCATGAATTTTTAAACAATGGAGGTGGAGCTTGCCTTTTCAATAAACCAACCAAAGTAAGCATTACATTAATGTTGAATATTATTTCTATTCTATTGCTAATTTTGATGAAACCAAGAAAAATGAAAATTATGTTGGAAAAAACACCTGTAGTTTTGATAGTTCTGGTTCTTTCTAACTGTTCTGGTAACATATGGGTGTAAGTAGATTATCTTAGTTCATACTAGTTTAGAAATTACTTTAAAATAAATTTCTAATAGAGTGGTTTCATGTCCAGTAGAGTATCCACAGGCTCTGATCAAGAATCATCCCTCACACAATTTGTTCTGAATATTGTAAATACAGTACTATTTTGTATTTACAACAGGTCTGCAATGGAGGATTTGCAGCAGTGTTTCAGTATATTCCTGCTTCATTTACTGAGGAATATGTTAAATGTAGAGCAAGCAGGATAATGATCTTGTCTCTTTTCTATATGTAATTGATGTTAACCTGTATTTAATGGCTGTCTTTCAACAAACAAAAGAAAGAAGTTAAGACAGAAAGAGAGTCCGATGTGGAAAAAAGACTTATCTGGTAAACGAAATGGTCACAGATGTAAAAGAGAAGAAAGTCAATTGAGGAGTGATGCATGTTCCTTCTGGTGAACCTGAGAAAAAGTGCATCTTCTGACAACCACAGGATTTCAATAAAAGTTAAAGAGGGGAAAACATCAACTCGGGACAAGCTGAGCCTGCTTATCTCTTTAAAGTCTCTTTTGATGAAGGAGTATATTGCTAGAAGTGGAGAGAAAGCACTGTAATTCATTAATAAGACGTAAAATTTCTTATTTAAAATGTACCTTTTAGAAGTTTGCTTTTTTTCCATCTCATTAAAGGTGGAGAGAAATACTGGTAGATTTATTTACTTGCCGAGTGAATTGTTTATATAGTGTAACGTGTCTTACTTGGTTTTATTTTAGTGATTGTGCTCATTTACACATCTGTCAGTTGGAAAAACTCCCAATTACTTTCCTTTCAATTTAGTTTAGCAGCACTTTAGGGGGTTTTTTGATGGCATGCAGAAATGTGAGTTTGATGAGGAAGCCAGGGTGATTTAGTCTCTTTTATGCATTGTGGTTTGGGATGGTTTAAAGGTTTTGTCAATGGATGTCTGTCTAATTAACAAAGCTGTCAAACATGTGTTTCCTAACAAGAGTGGTGAGACATAAACTTGTTTTTATTTTTTAAGCATTATAAGATAAAGGAAAGCTGATGTGACAAGATGCAGTGTTTGGCAGTGCTCCACTCTTAGATCAGCTGTAATCCCAAAAATTACATCAATGGCTGCTGGGGCAGATTGAACATATGCTCTTTTCAAATGAATGGATGAATGATATGACTCTGGGGAAAGGTTATTCAATTTGCTCTTAATGTTTGTGTTTTTTTCCCTTCAATTTCGTTTTTAGCTGTCCCTGTGTACTGCAGCAAATTGGCCCAATAGTGCAAGGCAGAATGCTCTGTTACTGCAGTGTTTTTGTCTCTGTTGTGCAACGCACTGAGAGATACTGAAGAAGTTAAGATGTCTGGAAAAATACACAGGAAACAAGCAGTTTTAACAACTCTTTAATAATTCTAAGGGCTTGCATACATTTTATGTTAAATTCTACATGTGCATTGCATGCTGCAGTCAAATTTCCATTTCAATAGGGGACCTAATAATAGCTCATCAGCCTGTGCCAGGCTGTGGTTTGTGGCACAGTGAAGTACGTGGGGTGATGCTCCATCCTGTGGGCTCCTGACAGAAAGGCAGCAGCCGGTGAGAAATGCTCTACACCATGTATGATGTACTTGTGCAGATGGCTCAGGAGCAGAGTGATTTTTGGAGTGGTCCTAGTTTAATTGGAGGACTCAAAGGATTATCTGCAAAATTTTAGTCTGGTGACACACTTAAATGAATTCTCATTTATGTAATAAAAGTTACTATTATGTTTTCTTATGTCCAAAGGAAAAAAATTATTTTCTTTTAGAAGAACTACCTTTTAAAGTTTTAGGAAGACAGAAAAAATTAAACTGGAAAGAACAGAATGTAAGTGTCCCTTAGAAGAGGTTATTGCATACAAATGTACAGATTTTGATTTTTAAGTTACAGTCCAGTGGGAAAGCTGAAAGGGAGGATCATCAGCAATACTTCTTGTGCACATCTGCCTGTCATACATACTCAGAGAAAACTGCAGAAAGTTTCCTTGTGGTAGAGGAAAATGGAAAGAAAAATCCATCTGCAACAAAAACTGACAAAGAAACCTAGCCTCTCTCCTTCCCAAGCGTTTCTGAGCCACATAAAAGGACTAATTTTTATGGCTATTACTTCTGAACTTAGAGTGCAGGCTTTAACCTTTCAGCCCTTGTCACTTGAACTCCAGAACAACAGCAACTGCTGTGAAGATAATGAAATTGTCATATCTTGAAAATGGTTTTTCCTTTATCGTCACACCTTTTGGTTTTTTTGTTTGTAACTTCTACTCAAACTGAATTTACTGTAAAGCTGCGACCTATGCACAGAAGATACCATGTGACTCTGCAGCATTCCTGTATTAATTTTCAGGAGTATTCATTCTCTGTATGCTTCACTGGTGTCAGTCTGTGTCTCCCTGAGTTGTGGGTACTGTTTTTCAGTTAATGCATTTGGAATGCTAGCTCAAAAACCATGTTGCACAGAGCAAATATGACAATGAGTACCTTAACAGAGACATGCCCTTTGATTTCTGAATTTCCATGCAGCTTCTGGATCCTCCAGAATGTGGCAATGGCTTTGTGGAAGATGGAGAGGAATGTGACTGTGGGACAATAGCGGTAAGTGCAATGTAATTTAAATTGCCAACTAGATTTTTCCAAGAGTTGGAAACATTGCACATTGCTGCTGTTAATGATAAGTGGAAGAAGACAAGCAAGGTGAAGGTTGTGTGCCCAGGGGTTCATAGTAATAGCTGCCTATGCAGAAGCAGACCTTCAGAGACATAAATGAAAGCATTTTCCTTGATGGACCTAGACTGGTCAGTGCTAAAATGTTAGTATTTAATGGTTGACAATATGAAGTTAGAAAAATTATTTTTTATCTCGCACAGGAAGCAGCAGTCTCATGCCCCAGAAGTACATGCCTTTTTCTGCCTCTAGGTGCCTAAAAGAATGAATGAAAATCCATTCAGGTAGCATGCTAAGGTGAGAAGTGGTGAGAGCTTGGGCTTCATGTGCTTTTCCCATGTATTCTGTTGTGTGTGTTCCTCAGGAGTGTGCCAACGAAGGAGGAGAGTGCTGCAATACCTGCACCCTGACTGCGGGCTCCCAGTGCAGCAACGGGCTCTGCTGTCGCAAGTGCCGGGTAAGGGCAGTGACCTTCACTGCAGCAGCCTGCTGGGAATGCATCCAGGTGGCTGCAGGCACTACAGCACATGTGTTTTCCCTTGCAGACCTTGTGATTACTCTTCCCAAAGCTTACCTTTTAAAACTGGCTGAAATCTGATTTTTCTGAGGGTGTACTCCGTCTTTTAGGCTTGGTTTTCTGGGGCAGGGACTGTCATCAATGCAGAAGTAAATTGAATCCTTCCAGTTTCAGACAAGTTTGAATCAGGTTGAAGTTCTATGAGATCTCATTAGACATCCTTGCTTAAAGGATAAATTAACCATAAAGGTTTCATTAAATGTCCTTGTTTTTTTACTGTGAGAATGAGGAGGCACTGGAACAAGTTGACTAGAGAAGTTTGCAATGACACATCCCTGGAAGTGATCGAGGCCAAGCTGGATGGGTCTTTGAGCAAATGGAAGGTGTTCCTGCCCATGGCAGTGGTGTTGGAACTAGGTGATCTTTAAGGTCCCTCCACTCCCAATGCCATGTGTGTTGCTCTGGATTTTCCCCATGATACTGAATGGAAAAATCATACCACAGAGTGTCTGAGGGAAGGATATAGTAAAAAACACAGAAGCGCAGCCAGCAGAATTACTCAGAAGGATTCATCTAAAAGACACCTGACTTGAGTTTCAGTTTGGTCAGCCTGTGTCTCATGTTTGGACTGATTGAAATACCATTGAGTGAAGGGAATCAAGCCTTATGTAAAGTGTAAGGTATTCTTCTTGATATATCAGTAAATAGTAAAAGGAGGTTTAACCAGATCATGGCTTAAGGGCATGATGTACTAATTTAGTAAAAAACATAATTACTATTAATGTAGTTGAAACGGTGGTATACTATGTGTGATATTTTTATCTTTGTCTGTGCACATTTGAGGGTTTCACTTCATTAGGAAATCATTAATAATAACTGTGGGCCACATTCTTGACTTTGTGCTCATCCTAATGTTAAAAAAAGAAAAAGCACAGATTATGCTGGAACACATCACATTTCCCTAAGCACATTCCTTTTTTAAATGTAATAATAAAAATAAATCTGCAGATTGCCAGTGTGGGTGAATTTTGCTCAAGAGTCCAAGTCACATAGGCACCATATTAAAGACTTTCAGAACAAAACAAAGCTTTTGTATACCTATCTTATTTTTTTGCAAGTGAGAAAAGGGTTTATCTACTTAGAGGCAAAGATGAGTGAATGAACAGAAAAGTAGAATTTTACAGAACATATATCCCTAGGAGGTGTTTATCAGGACAACTCAAAATACTGTATATAATAGTTCCCAAACTTGGGGTTACCTTCCCCTGTAATATGCTGCCTGAAAGCAGGAGTGAAGGAGGGGTTACAAGCAATACGTGGTGATTATACATCCCAGAATCCTGCAGTGTCTCTGACATTTGTGTCTGCCTGCATTTTTCCAGTGACTAGTAGGAAAAAGAGGCTGAGGGCTGAGAAAGTACCATAGTCTAGCTCTTCCACTGCTCACACCAGCTGTGGAGTTAGCAGCTGTCCCCCCAAAAATATATGTTCATGCAGATCCAGAATAAAAAATCAAAGGCCTACAAAATGAACTGAGTATCACAATCTTAAGAAAACTTTGAGGAAAAATAAGGAGTCTGTAATATGTCCATGACCAGAAACACTAAAATTGCCTCAAATGAGACGTCTTCCTTCTTTTCCAGGTCTTGAGACTTAGCAAATAAGTCTTTAGCCAAAATGTCTGTATTAGGTCACTGGTACACTTTTCATTGTTAAATATCCAGTCCCTTAGAAAATGGTGTCAAACTGTACAGAATTCAGTACATTTATTAATAGCTCCTGGTCTGCAACAACAGTGGGGCATTAAAATAACCAAAGTGTTTATACATAGAGCTCTGCAGCGTTCTTCATCCCCAGAGAGAAGATCAGGATGACTCCTTCTGTTCTATAAAGAAGAGTAAAATAGTCACAAAAAGGCACAATGACCTGGTAGGATAATTTTGCCAGCCACTGCAGTATTGGTTTGGACACCTCCAGGGGTTCCCTGTCCCAGGAGAGACTTCTCCTGCTAGGCCCCACAATCCATGCCCTTGGGAGGGTGTGCCTCAGAGTGGTACCACTTGCACCAGTAAATGGCTTGAGTGGTGCAGCATACACGCCAGGGAAAGGAGAGTCCTCTCACATCAGTCAGCATGTGAATATTTCCTTTTTTTTATTTTAGATAAAACTGTAAGGAAGCATTGCATATAAGGCAAGATATGGAGAAACCAAGACAATAATTTTCTGTGCTTTTATTTCCAGTTTGAACCTAAAGGAGTTTTGTGTCGAGAAGCAGTGAATGATTGTGATATTGCAGAGAACTGCACAGGAAATTCCAGCCAGGTGATTTTTGTGTCTTCTATTCATGAGACAAAAAAACCTATAATCTTGAAATTACTATGTTTTGTATATGGTGTGTTAAAATTGTGTTAAATCTGTTGATGCTGAAAAAACCAGAATAATATTACAATTATTTTTCATATGACTTTTGTTGTGTACTTTGCTTTCACGATTGTCTAATCTATGATCTATTACCTATTTTCTCTTTCTATAGTGTTCTCCTAATATCCATAAAATGGATGGATATTCATGTGATAACAGACAGGTAATTAGGACTTCAGTTTGTTATACATTCTTTCTGCTGTTATAGATTGCTTTTTATAGATTTTTTTTTTTTAAGATCTTTGGAAGTCACCTTGGGACAGTTTTGCTAACATTCATGAGTTTTGGGTGCTAGTCATATTTTGTATGAAAAGACAGAATCACGTATTTATTGCCTCAGTATAAAGTGTGTGACTAATCTTTATGTTGAAGAAATACGTATTTCAGAAAATCAAGTAATTCAAAATATTTTCTGCATTTTTTTCTTTCTTTCTAGGGTATTTGCTTCGGAGGAAGATGTAAAACCAGGGACCGGCAGTGTAAATATATATGGGGTGAAAGTAAGTGAATGTTTCTAAGTTGGTTGTAATACATGTGGCTTGAAAGACTATCTTAGCTAAGAAAAATTATGGAAGAGACATATTCAGAACCTTGAAAACATCTGGAATGGTATGTCTCTCCCTTTCTTCCCCCATCATTTTGTCTTTCCATCCTCTTTTCCAGCTCTTTCTCTAGTGTTGGTTAGTTTACTGGTGTTTGTTCTGAAATCAGAAACTTTAGTTCTCATTAATAACCATCTAGTGAGCCTATACTCATGTTCATTAGTTTATTGCAGTGGGTTCTGGACACTTTTGACCAATAAACTTTCATCAATCTGAACAAAATTTCCAAATTTAAAAATAGTTCTGGTGCCATCATAAAGATTTTAACCAAGAAAGACCACTGTGCAGAGTTTCATGGGCCACCTGCAGATCATGGTGTTTCACTTCACCAACTGGAAAGCTCTGCTTGCTTTGATTGTATCCCCATTTCTCATGACATGGCTTTTCAAAGTCATCATCTTAGAAGAGATTTGTTTCTGTTTTTAGAAGTGACAGCAGCTGACAGGTACTGCTATGAGAAACTGAATATTGAGGGGACTGAGAAAGGAAACTGTGGAAGAGACAAGGACTCTTGGATACAGTGCAATAAGCAGTAAGTTGATCCATTTGGAAAGCTACTAGAATGAGGTTCTTACCCCTGATCCAGTTCTTTAGCTGGCATGAAGAGACTCAGAAATTCCCTCTGTGGATCAGACTTCTGGCCTTCTCCTGCAGACCTTTGTGCAAGAAATCCTGGATGGAGCAGGGTGCCAAGAAGAGATGATCCCTGACAAGAGAGCATCATCTGAGCTTGGGAGAGCTTGGACCAAAGTGGTTCTAGTACTCAGTGTGCATTAGCAGTGCAGAAGAGAGCAGCCTTTGGTTTCACATCTTGGTGTGGTGTTCACTTTTTATGCTGTGCCATTGCATTGCTAAGTTGTGTTCACTTTTCATGATATTGTAACTTTCCAAGTATATACCTGCCAAATTGCTGCCAAAAGCATTTTTTCACATTCTGCATATATGCAGTTGATTAGTTCTGACAATTTCTCAACCTTTCACCTGTCCTTATCAAACTGTTTTTTCAGATTTCTCCATTCTGTCCATGACATTTGATTTCTATTTCTACCTACAGGTGAACTAATGTTCTTTCCCACTTTTTTAATGCAGATTTGGTAACCTTACTTCTGTTCCATTAAATATTCATACGTAAAAAATATTCAATAGTATGGAAAATGTCAAACCCTACTATTCTACCAGTGCAAAAGTCTCCACACATGAATAGTGAAATCCCTTCAGCAGTTGAATTAAACATGGTGTCTATAATTCCCTTACATATATGTCCTATGAGAGTGTGTTTAGAACCAGTGTCTGCTGTTGCTCCTTTATGGACCAGTTACTATATCTTAGTAGTTCATTAAATCAATCTGATGTGGTTTGTTCTTGCCAGCTCCCTGCTTGTTATTACTTAGGGTATTTTTGATAATGCGTTCTAAAAACAGAGTTTTCCCAATCTAACTTCCAAGGAGAAGAATTTTCTCCGGAAACAGAATCATTTATGGGAGTTATTGTCAGTGGGAGAAAAGCAAGGAATAACAAGTAGGTTATCAAGCAAGTGGTCGTATTTTTGATTGTCCATTTTAATTGACTTTTATTTTTACAAGTATCTGTTTATTCTTTCAATGCAGGGATGTGCTTTGTGGATACCTTCTGTGCTCCAACATATCCAGTGTACCCAGACTTGGAGAACTTGATGGTGAAATCACAACATCAATCTTGCACTATGGAAAAGTCTATAATTGCAGGTAAATCCTGAAAACAGAACAATCAATATCCATCTTACGTAGAAAAGCAGCTTTCTCATTCCTAAGTGGAGAAAAACTGTTTCCATTAATTTTTTTTCCTACTAACACATAATCATTATTTCAGTTCAACCTTTGTTAAGCTTCAGAAAATTAACTGCCTGTGGGGCAGTTTCATAGTCCCCTCAATAGTTAATTTTGCCTGTAGAGGCATAATGCTCTTCTCAGGCCCTGTGATTTTACATTCTTTAATTTTTGCAAAGTACTTCATGTACCCAAAATACTTAGACATATGCCTGCACTGCCAAAGTTAACTGACAGCCTAATTCATTGCTATATTGTAGCTGAATTCTAATTATAGTTGTGGTATGTTTTCATAGCTTTACACAACTGTAAGACGAAATGATTTCCTAAACAAGTAAACTGAGTTTTATCTAACTCTAGCTGTTTCACAGGAAAAATGGTCCTTGTTTTCATGATTTACATTTATTTGATGTGGAGACACTGTTTTGGTTTGTTTCATGTTAGGCCCCGTGAGATCACTAAGCCAATACTTACTCTTGCCTGGTCCTGGGCCTTGTGTAGCACAGAAGTACAGGCAGCAGCCCAGGGCCCAGTTTCTCAAGCAGAACTGTCAAATCCCAGCACAAGTCTCCAAGGTCCTCTTGCCTGTCTTGCAGCGGTGGCCACGTGAAGCTGGACGAGGACACGGACCTGGGCTATGTGGAGAACGGGACGCCGTGTGGGCCGGACATGGTGTGCCTCGACCATCGCTGCCTCCCCACCGAGGCCTTCAACTTCAGCACCTGCCCAGGCACTACCGACGGCCAGATTTGTTCAGGACACGGTGTATGTTCTTTAATGCTTTTTGCTGGTTTTGCTGAGTACCTGGCCTTGTGTAGTCTACTGGCTGGACCTTTCAGGAAGCCAGCAGTGTGACTCTAGAAGTCATAAAACTGGACTTTTTGAAGAGGAAAAGGGAAGGAGGCAATAAGTAAATATAATGCATTCCAGTCAAGGCATCTTAAACGAGTCATAGTTAGTATGTATTAGTTTTACAGAAGTTTTGTATCAATAGATGTTTTTGCTATCAATTTTGCTAACTTGATTGATATTTCATCAGGCAGTGTGCTGGAGGATAAATACAAAGGTTTTATGAACTGAAAAACTTGGGTCTCTGTTCTTCCAGAGACCTGCTCTTTTTAATTCCGTCTTTATTACATAAATAGCCAAAAGATTCACAAAGTTGTTGATGGTGTTGGATTTTGTGAGCTGAGAGTTCATTTACTCTGAAAAAGAGGGAAATGAGCTGGATCTTGACTAGTTTCTCTGCTTGGTGTGCAGAGAGTCTGTGGCTTTGCTGTGGCCCTGGCGAGTCCCCTTGTCCCTAACACATTTTGACCTAATGTCCAGGGCCCTGTGACTGAGCTGAGATCAAAGGAGTTGTTCTCTCATAATGTCTTTTGTTTTGTTCACTGCATTAAAACTTCCCTATTCATCTGAAAACATGCACTTCATCATATTTTCAAAAAAAGGTGATTAAGGTCAGTCTCCCAAAGCAATTATAAATGGTTCTATTAAATACAGATTATATTAAAGTATGTACTGAATAAACATTACATCTATTTATATAAAATACAATAGCACATTGAATGTATTTATATCTAACATATAAATTAAAAATCGCTGTATATTAAAAATTATTTTGCAATATTTTGTGAGCAGAAAAACCGTGGCTTTATCACTGCATCTATACTTGAGGTATTAATAATGAGAATGGATTAATAATCTTATTTTTTTCTAAGCTACACTTTTCACTGCAGGTTTGCAGCAATGAAATAAAGTGCGTCTGTGACCGATTCTGGGGAGGAGATGACTGCAGTTCTCACATCAAGGATGATTTATTTTTTGATAAAGATGCCATCAATAAAGGTATGTGGTTATAATTTTTACCAACAGCTCGGATTTAACAAAAGTTCATTAAGCAAAACTAGGTCTCCTACTCTTTCAGTCAGTACACAACATGCTGCAGTGTCAGGAGCCTCGTTTCCCTCTCTTCCTCCCACAGCAGAAGCACTTAGTGTCTGTCAATGAAGCCTCAGCCAGTGGATCTTTGGGAACTGGTATCTGTGGCTCCAGTTCTACCATGTTTGTTCCAATAATCTGAGTGGTCTTATTAGGCATATTGATAAACTAGGACAAACAAAGGTTACTGTGACCTTCCATATCTAGGTGGAAAGGTAATGCTTGACTTCTACATTTTTTGAGTGGAAGTTTTTATTCAGCTTTAGTCTTGCATACAAAAGAAAGATATATTGTGGAAAAATGAGCTTGAAATGTTGGTCATTTGAAATCCTTGTGGGGGGACATCTTCCAGAATCCTTCATTTGATTAATTTATTCAGCTATGGAAGGGACCTGAGCAAAACCAAACACGTAGTCACTTTTATTCCATGGTAAGCATGTATTTGGTAGGGAGGGTTGTAAGGATGTAATCTGTAGCACTTTAATATTGATAATACTGTTTTGGCATACCTGGCACAGGTCCCCCATGTAACAAGCATTCAGTTAATGGACACAGAGGTCAAAGTTTGATTTACAAGTGATCTTTTTATGCCTCTGCTATACTTCAGGAGTGTGTATCATGGTTACAATTAATCAGCCTAGTGAAAGTTGTTCAATCTAGTTTTTGAAAGATGGTGCATTTACTGGTTTTGTGTATTTTTCTCCTAAAACCATGTATATTTTTCATCTTTCTTGTGTTTCCAGGTGTGGTTAGCACAAATATAATAATAGGGGCTATTGCTGGCACCATTTTAGTGTTGGCTCTCGTTTTAGGAATAACTGGTTGGGGTTACAAGTAAGTACATTTTGTTTTTCTTTATAGAGTTAAAAAATATGTGTATTTCATCTGATAGTTTATTATGTTATGAAAAGTTCAAAAAAATCTAAAAAATCCAAATTCCACAATATCTTTGCAGTAACATTTTTATTGTATTAACATTTTTCAAGCAGTTCTTACATTTGTGTGTGCTTTTAGAGAGCTTGATCCAAATTTGACGTTTATTTCTCATTTAGTAATTTCTTTTTTTAGATGATCAGATTATGATTTTATATGTACGATTTATATGTATGTGACAAAGGAAATACAAGAATACTATATGATTAAATTATAAATGTTTCCTCATGATGAAGCAAACATAACAAGATTAGCTCTCAGTCAGTCAGCAAAGCATTTAACCATAGGCTTCCTTAAATAGATGATTATATTTAGTCAGCTTAACCTGAAATTAATTCAAGCACATTTTTTGGTAGGAAAGATCTGCAATTTGCAAGTAAGGCTCAAGTTGTCTCCTGGTGAAGAGCTGTCAGTGCTCACTGAGAGGCAAAATGGATTATATTAGCCTGATCGGTCTTTCTCAATTTTAATTCTTTTGTGAATTTCTTATAAAAAGAGAGGGATTTATGTTTTTTGCTTGTAGTAAAAAAAGATTCAAGGTGCTGACTTTATCATCAGTGTTTGGATGAGACTATCTCTTGAAGTTGTGTGACCCTAGGTCCTTATTGTGCTCGGAGGGCAGGGCAGGCTCTGCTGCAGGCAGTGCTGTGGCTGGGGCACAGCCCCAGTGGTTTGGCATGAAGAAGTGGCACAGCCCCTGCTGGTTTGCCAGACTGAGGTAGGCTGAGGGCAGCTCAGAAATACGTAAGGAAGGAAGCATTTGGAATAAAAACCATGAAGATGAGGATGGTAGAAAAGTAGGTTATACTGTCTTGGTATATCATCCTCAGCTTCTGATAGTATCTGAAAATCTGGACTTTTATTTCCAGTAAAACTAAAAGTTAAGGGCTCATTTTGAGATCATGTCTCAAATGAGAGATTAATTTTTGGAGGTTCAGGACAAGAATGCACCTCTTACTAGCAGCTTCACAGTGAACAAGCTTTAAGTGAACAAGCTTTAAGCCATCATAAACTGCTCCTTACACTCAGTGCTGATGAGCCGTCAACATGAATGTATTTTTCTTGTTTATTCTGATGTAGTATATTTGTAAATATGATTATTTCAGAAATGATTTTTCAAAGTAAAATACTTTGAGCAAAAATTTCATTCTGCATACAGTGCTTTTATTGTTACATTTTTTTGGTCTTACTGACCATGTGTACCTGCATACTAAAAACTTCTTCTTCTTCCTTTATCTTCTGTTTATATGGAAAGAAACTACAGAAGACAGAGGTATGTGATAAAAGTAGTAGAATGTATCCTAGAAGTCTCTGAAAATAGCTTTTAATCTCTTTTCCTCATTTACATGCTACAAAGAAAATATTGAGATGGGTTATCATATTTTAAATAATATATGAAATCAATATTCTATAATGCATTGCTTGAAATCCTGATTTCACTGGAGTCAGTAGCAAAAATGATGTTTTTTATACTTCTGCAATAGACTGTTTTATTTAGGAAAACAGGAGAATATTTCCAATAAGAGAGACTGAAAATCGGCTATTAGTGATGAAAGTGTTCTTGGGAGGCTAAGAACTGAATAATTAATATTAACATGATGTTCAGGAGCCTTTTGAGACAAATTAATTCCTGGAGCTTCTTTGCAGTTAAAAATACAATGCAATTAAATTGCTGTGTGGACAAAGAGCCCGTTCTTTCCCGTCACCCTGTTTGACTGATTCATAGCTAAAGCACAGTACTGGCTTCAGCACAGGGCTGAGCTTTCACCATTTCAAGCTTGTGGCCAAAAAGAAACCGCTTTCCTAGTGACTTTAGTTTGGCTCCTGGAAGACCACCTCCCTTTGATCAGGCATCTGCCTGGCAGATGTCTTGTGGGAAGGAGTTGGCTCCTTCCTCTCCCAGTCCCCAACAGAGAAGAGGATTTCTCAAATTCCCCTGTTTTCTGCCTGTATCATTGCCTTCTGGTCCAAGCTGCTGCTTTGTTTGTTGCTGCTACCCGTTGTGCTTGTTCTCCATTTTCCTTTGTGTAGCGCTTTCTCTGCCAGGCTCAAAATATTTGTAAAAAGTGGAAAAGCACAGTCAAGTTCTGGTTGTGTGCTACAAGGTCAGGTAGGCCACAGGTGCAGTAACATGTAAAAGGCAACGCTATTGAAGCCTTATGCAGAGGCTGGTGGGTAGGGAATGCCACCCAGCACAAGGAAGGCAGAAATTAAGGGTTTGGGGCTGCTTAGTGGAAACTGATGTATCTATGCATGGAGACTAACATGGCCATCAAGTCATTCTACTGTGGAGGTTTCAGTATTGGCTGAGGACAGAGCAGACAAAACCTCGAAACAGAGTCCACCCCATGTATGTTTGCACTGGAATATTAGAGAATATAACTTCTTCATATATCTTCATCTCCAGAAATTGCTTTATGGCCAGAGAGCTTTGAGTGTGCAGCCAGTCTGTAGTTGTGTCTGAGGGCACAGGCCGAGTGGAAACCAGTGTAAACTGAGGCTTCTGCAAGTAATGGAGGACTCCCTCATTTTAAAGATGAGGAAGATATTTCTTGTGTAAATCTCCTTCATGCATGAAATGAAGTTGTCTAGGCTAACTTCTAAATAGAATAATTTTAGATTAGTACAAGGAGTGCTCCATAAATGGAAAAACAGATACCCACCAGACTGTCCAGACTGTCCCTTTTTTTAAAGGAAAATATGGTTGCTCCTTAAATAACAATA